GTTTTAGAAAAATTGAAATTTGGTTAAGTGAAATTAAGATATGCATCAATATTTTAGCTAGATTCAAGATGGTGACTTCAAACAAAATTGTGAGTTCTTTAAATTGATTGCAATAGGGGAAATGGCTCTAATGTTGGCCTTTGCTAAGATTGGGCCCATTGCTAAAAATCTGCTATTTATCAATTTTATCTAGATGAATGCGTCATTGGGATGGTACTAATGGATATTTATGGTCGCTATTGAAAATTTAATCGATTGCTGAATTTATGTATGGGCCCAAATTAGGGCCATTACATCCATTTCCCCTATATGTTGACTAAAGTTTGATGTTGAATTTAAATTGCTGGAGTTTTCTTGCAAAATGTGTTATAAGACTTACGCTTTACATTGAAAGCTGGGACCACATTATGGAACCAAGTCGAAACGGCTATTTTCATACAAGCTTCCATACCAAAAACGCTGCGTTTCGACTTCCCCAATGAGATCTCTGGAATCTGCAAACTATGATTAAATGCTATTTTGTAATTGTAGGTAATAGTGACGACTAATGGCAAAGAGATTAGTCTCCAAAACATAACGTAAAATACTTGGAAAATTGAGTTGTAGATCTAATACGGATGTATCCAAACGGAAGTGAAGAATTCATGAATCCGGTACCTAACCTTTTTTATATAATATTACCGATATCACTTCACACAAGTAACAACTGGTCACTTCACTTCATTTTTACCGTGAAGTGACACTCGTAATAAAGGCCATTATATTCACTTTAACACTTTTGGGTCATTCGTGCCTTGTTCAGGGATGAGATTTAAATTCGTAACTTTGACTTGAAAGGTACGGATATCCCCCGGTACCTAACCTGGATTTCCCCACATCCATTTCTTTTCTACGATCTTTGACAGTTCTGCTCAGTTATTTCATCTCAAAATAAGAGGCTCTTTTCCTGGAAATCGTGGAATTTCCCGTCATCACGGGATATTTTACTGAATTCTTGGTATTTCCCGAAAATTTTTTGAAGCTCGAAATCGGTCACCACCGTAACATTTAATGTTTACATAAAACGAAAAAAGGTTATCTTCAATTTAATTCCACTTAATTAATTTTGGTATCCATGACAGATACGTATTTTGACTACAATGTGCAGTCTTCATCAGTGTTATTCCCAAATGTAAATAAATGTCAAATATGCTGTATATTATGATACTCATCCAAAGCTCAAACCATTCTTTATAAAATATCAAGATTAAGCCGAAAGAGACGAACCAGCTTAAGGCTAAAAGTCTCTATAATAAAGCAAAAAGAAAAAAAAAAAGAAAAAAAAATAAAAAAAAATTTAGGTTTAACCTTCACAGATCGTTTCTATAAAGGTTTAGGAACAACATTATACTTAAAACTACGGAGGACAAAGCGGCACAGCAAAATTATTGTAAATATTGATGCCTTTTGAATCTATGAAATCACTAAAAAATTGTTTAAACAATGGGTTAGCTTTAATCTTAAATCTTGTTAATTATATGATAATAAGCATTTGAATTCATTAGAGCGTTTCTACGCCGAAGGACGAATCTATCAGACTCGAACTTCTCCAGTTTTCATGAAAATTGACATAATTGTTTGTTATAGGCAATCATTTACATGTTCTGCAAATATTCATCCATTTGAACCTTGAATTTTTATGCAAAATTGTTTATTTGACATTTTTCTATAAAACTTAAATAAAAAATATATGGCAATATAGAAATATTTTAAATCTTGGAAACTTTTTTTTTTTTTTTTTTTTTTTATTATAGTCATTATAGTGAATTGTCTGGGAGTGAGATTTGAACTCGTGACTTTGGCGTGAGAGGTATGGATGTTAACCACTACGCCGGGGTCGCCCCCTTCTCTTGGACACTTCAAAATTCACAAAAATTGTAGAACAACAACTACTGGTCAATTTTTTGAACTTATAGTGGACCTTGCAGTTCCATGATTCGATTTATCAACGATTGATTTTTATGAATTTTTGTGAGCCTGCTCCAACCCCCTATCATGACGGATAACTATCGTGCACAGCTCTGTTTAGAGTCCCGCGGTGGCACGAGGACAATGATCAGCCGCCCTAAGAGAGGAGTCCTTCTGTTTCTGTCAGAATCCCGAGTAGAAGACTATATCTCAGTCATACACAATTATGATCCTGATACCAAAAATGATATGCATTAGCACGACATAACAGCTAAAATATTAAGAAATTTTATCTGACATTTATTCCTGCAATATCGATCCAATAGCAAATTAAGCAATTCCGGTATCAAATCAATAACACAGTTCTAAAGTTTAGCTATTTGTTTGACAAGCAAATATTAGGATTTATTATAAAAATGGTATTTGCTATTTTTGGTATTATTACTTATGCAATGCTAATCCATATCAACCTTAGATATCAATAGTAAAGATTCTACCCGGGATATAACCAATGTCCAACCGGGATTAATTACCCGATCTTTCCTATAGTTACTAATACCTCACCCTGCACCGCGGGGAGGTAGGGATACGAATCACTGGACAATAGACTAAGGACCACATTGGTCTATACGTGAAGTACCAATGGTACGGATTGTTCAACCGTTCACCAGTCTTCTTTCATGCTGTCTTATTGAGCTCTGTAAATCATCAAGTACTACAATATATATGAATATATGTAAGAAGAAAGTTGACACAAATAATGTTTCAAAAACCAAAAAGCAGTTTCTTCGTTTCTATCCGAAATTGTGATAACGGAAATGTGTTCACTGTATTCCGGTCAGCAAGTAGAAAACAGTGAATACATTTTCATAAACAGAGTTTCGGTTTTGAAAAAAAATTCTGCTGTTGAATTTTTTGAAAAATTGTCTGCGTCCACATGCATATTCAAAAATAATAGAAGTTATCATAAAATGCGTATTTTGCAGGCAAGTTTCAGTATAAACTCTTCATATGCATCGAAGTGCAATAATATGCATGCTGGACATTTGTATAAGGATCACTATGAGCAAAATGGTTCTTCTTCTTCTTCGCATTTAAAGCTTATTGCATATCGCATATTAGCTTATTGAACAAATTGGTATAAGTGATTAACAGTGATATGCTTGCTTAGCCTATGACTTGACCTTTGTTGTGTCAAGTCGTTGCGAAAGGATATTAGCTGCTTCTAAATTATGGTTATTGAAAGTGAGAACTGATTCATAGATGCAATGATGGATTATCCAATGGATGGATAAAGATGGGGAGATTTCTGTTTGAGTAATTTGTGTTGATTTTAAAATCGATCAAATTCCTTTGTTTACGGTCGTAATCTTGTGATTTCTCTATTTAAAAAAACTTACTTCCCTTCCGAAGAACGATGTGATCAGAAATTTTAAATTTTAGAAAATCCCGGCGTTGCCGACTGGGATTGAACACCGGCCTGCTGGGGTGAGAGATAACTGTAAAAAAAATAATTTTTGACAAAAATGACGCGCGTTTGAAAAAAGTGATCTGATTTTAGGCAAAAATTTCAAATATATAATTATTGATTGCAACAAAACTTTTAAAGATAAGGTTAAAAACTCAGGTACTTCATTAGAAAAAAAAAGTATGTTGAACAAGCTACTAAAATCAAGTCGATTAATCAATTAGAAATATAACTTTCGTTTCCGCTGACTTGAAAAACATGGTTTTGAGAAAAAAAAAAAGCGATTAAAGATAAATTTCATGCCTGGAGCGCGCTGGTAGTCCTCTAGTCTCCGCCCCAAAATAATGCGAAAGAAACTGTTCCCGGGTATAAAACCAAAAGTCTCGTATTCATTAGACTCTAAACTATCATTTAAGACCAATAAAAAAAAACATTATTTGAACCCGCTACAGTGGCCTAGCCCCTTAATTAGATACTAACGACATACACTAAGATTTGCATGAAATTTGTTGCAATGGCACATTCTGTAAATTATTCTGAAAGTAATCTTTAATGAATTTGTTACCCGCTGTGATGAAAGTATTTTTACAACTTACTTTGTGAGGTTTGGAACGTCCTCAAAAAATGAGCCATTTTCATACAAATTGAAACGTTTATTATTTTTCAGGAAGAAACATACAAATAAAAAATAATAAAACTTCACATTATTTTTTTTTTATTATTATTATAGTCACTTTAACACTCTTGGGTCATTCGTGACTTGTTCGGGGGTGAGAGTTGAACTCGTGACTCTGGCGTGAGAGGTATGGATGTTAACCACTACGCCGGGATTGCCCCTTATCTTTACATTATTATTCTTAATGACAGAAACTTATTTGCATATGTAGGGTAGAGCACTACTTCGTCTTAATCGCCCAAAAGATCAATAATATCAATGATTTCACCATCAATAATAGGTTTGTTCTGATGCGTTAGTTCATACGCTACAATATAAATCCGTATTGTATGAATATTTACGCTCATTTTTCTTAAAACAAAAGAAGCGCTCATATCGAATCCCCTTTTTCTACGTTTATCCGTAGGACGAAGCAAATCGAATGGCGCTTTAATGCGTTAGGACAGAATTGAAACTCGTAGAACGAATTTAGGATCAAGAAGCAGTATTAGATTTAAAACAATATCTTAACAATTTGTGAATCTTTATCAAATCCAAAAGAAAGGTAATGGTATGGTGAATAAATTTAGAAATCATCTTTGACAGATATATTCCATTTTTTGTTCAAACCCGTTGTGCTTAGTAGGACGGAAATTAGATCAAAACCCTATCCTTTCAGTCCGATTTATTATTGAATCATTCACTTACTTCGCCTCTGGTTGCAAATACAGCAGATTAACTAATCTGCTCTTCTGGCAAACGAAGAAAAGAGAATCGCAATTTAAATCATTGTTTACGCGCTGGAAAGAAGAACGACGACTTTCAAATATTCCAAATCGTATTTGCACTTGCAATAAATTGCAAAATTTTCGATTTATAAAATCGACTCCACCTCTCACTGTTCCTTTTCTTTCAATTTCGCATTTGCAGCCAAACATGATCGTTTCTTGACCGGAAATTGCTTTTTCCCATCCATTGCTGCTTCATCAACGGTGCTGGAAGTTTTGAAGCTGGACGGAACGAAACGAGGGCAACCAATCCAGGCCAGCAAACAGATCAGAAGCAGCTCGGTTGCTATTCTCGCACAGCCACGCGACACACCCGGTCATCATTGAGTTGGTTGTTGATCGATTTCGAGTCGAGCGGCCGGCGACAGAAAATCGTCAAAATTGTCGCCCCCACGGCAACCCGTCGACGGTGGTGGTGGTCGGTCGAGGTGGAGTGCGTCGCCACTGCCAGCGGGTTCAGCGAAGGGAAGAGCTCTGTAGCAGCACAACTCCGTGGATCCCTCGGCCAATCGTTACGCAACGACGCTGGCTGGGACACAGGGAGATGAGATGAGGCTGCTACACGGCGTTAGTTTCATCATATTCGCTGCCGTTTCAGGTGAGTAGAGCAATTTTTTATGTCATTATCCTCCGGGGGCAAGCGTTTGGGCATTGGTCCATATTTCAACAGCATTTTTTCAGACATTGGAACTACGCCAAACTCAGCTCACTTTCATCACTCGGTGCGTTTGAGGAGCATTTGAACAGAAGTGTATCCTCTGGTGGTAGCGTAGCGCATTTAATCGGATTTTGGCACGCCGGTTGGTCACAAATGGTCATATGTGGTTGGGTTTTGAAGCCTTGTGCAGCTTTATCCGTTTCAAGTACTCAATTATAAAACATTTTGTTTTTTTTTTCCAACCATATGATTCTTTATATTGACTGCGAAGCTAGACACTTAGACTAAGCAGGTATAATTCAATCCCCTTAAGGAAATGTGGTATATTTTTACAGTTCTCTCTTTAATTGACGGAACAATCGCGTACATCCGTGCTTTGGGAGTTGGAAATTATATATTTATTATCACAGCACAACTCAACAACGCTACTTTGTTCGCCATACGTAGAGACATTGGGAGGGCAGTGCAGAATTTCCTCGCATCCAAATTAACTCAAACTTTGGTTCGAGCAAAACGTGACGAAATCCATCTTTTGACGTAGGACTACGTCTGTGATTTCTCTATGGGGGCACACTTTGTGAAAACCAAAAATGGAACATGTAAAAAAATTAGGAAAGATTTTGAACGTGAATAACTCAGCTGCCCCTGGACCAATTTCAATAATTGTATCACCAATCGATCAGAAATATTTCTACGCATCTTTAAAGCTTTATCATTTTTCAAAATGTCACTATTGAAAATTGCACGAATGTGCAACTGCTGCTATTTTCTATGTTAAATAAAATTATCACCGATTGCCTACGAAAAGCAATTTCCCTAACACAGATTTCAAAGTTGAATTCCATTCGGTCTCACCAAACGATGTTTATTCAATCACCGCGTGGTGAGTGGTGGTGTTCTCCAGTACACAACGAATGGCTCCCCGCAAGCAGCTAGCTATCAAGGCTGCCCACAACCGCTGGATTCAGTTCTAATCACCGTGTGTGGTGGTGTCCAATCGTCGGCATCAGCAGGAGCAGTTTCGTTTCTCGACGAAAAGTACGTTTCATTTCATTTCATTCAGTTATATTTCGCATCTGTTATGACTTAAATTTATGTCACAATTGACGCTCGTATATGACACTCTAGAGCACCTAAATTTACATGAATTTTTCTAAGTGTGCAGATAAAATTTGATTGTTACTTCATTAAAGAAACTTTCAGGTAATCAGGGATTTCCCTCGCTACTGGTACTAGATTTGTTTGAATTGTTTAACTATTAGAAAAAATACAAACTAATTAGAAAACCAAGATTCTAGGATAATTTTCTCTTGAAAGCAAAATTAACTATTCAAGTTGAAAATCCACGCTAGGACCATAATAAAGAAATTATACCGAGTTTTAACACCGATATTTGTCGGCTAGATACAGATTTAAAAGAAAAATACGGTTAAAATACAGATTGAAATTAGAAAAAAGTGTGGCACACTGCCCGTAGTTCGTGCGACGCAGTGGCAGTCTTAGCATAGGGTTGTTATGAAACGGTCGGGGTTGGTCATTCAGGAAGATTTGGGTCAGAATAGCCATGCACACTAAGAAATACCTATTCTTACACTTGACGGAATCCATCTTTGACATAAGTAACACGTAAAACATCTTTTTTTAAAAGAATAAGAACGGCTTGTTGTTTAAATGTATTATAAGTGATGCAGTAAGCATCCCACGTTTTCTAAAAGTACTTTTTTATGACATCTCATAAATTAATACAGCTGAAAAGGTACAGGTTGTCTTATAAGGTGTTGAAAATACTTTTAAATAACAATCTGGCAATGTTGTTATGAAGCGGTCGGGGTTGGACATTCAGATAGATTTGGGTCAGAATAGCCTGAAAATCGATTCTTCCCTGTAGAACGTCGGCAATAGTCAATGTTCTGATAGGCAGCCGAAGCGGATCTCTCAAAGGTAGTCAACGGAACGCAAAACGAAGAAAGCGACGGTGAACAGATTCGATCTTCTCGGCACCGTTCTTGTAGTTCGGTTTGTAATCCAGAACAATAATTTCACATACATTCAATGAATACGATTTAAACATAATTGTAGGTATCCAGTACAATTATGTTGAAAAAAATTGCTGGAAAAATATTGAGATTTCGTGAAGATACATATGATTGAAGTTGTTGCAGATCAGTTGATTCAACCTACACATTGAAAAAACAGCCTGATAGACAGCCCAAGTAACAGTGGATTTTATGCGGGTTCTGTAGACCGTGTTATAGACTCGTATAATGCTTTAAAACCTCGATAAAACTTGCAATGTCACTTGAGAGAGCTTACGATCCCACCATGAAACTTTATAATAGTTTGCAAAACGTAGGAGTTTTAGGCCCATGTTCCTTCAGTTGATTAAAACAGTCACCCCTTGATAATCATTTCACAGAATCATCTTTGCGGAAAATACAACGTAGCCGTAGCCAATTTTGTTATTTGTGTCATATCTCAGTTATGCTGCAAGCATTAATGTTGACAGAAAAAATGAATAGGTTTTATCTAACCTAATCATTTTGCTGGATGCTTTCTCGTACTGGCTGCGTTTTTTTAAATAAGATAAAATTAGATCAGATCAAAGATAGATCAAATTAAATCACCAGTTTTACATATTGAAGATGAATTCTACTGCGTTAGGATCTTTTCACGAAAAAATATAACGTAATAGGAGGAGGGTAGAGTGTAAAAAATGATGATGGATGGATTTGATGTAAAAGCAAAGTAGGCTGACACTGTCCGTGCAAATATCACCCAAAAAATTAGGAAAGTTTTCAAATCGTCTTATCAGATAATGCCTAATGTTACAGAATAGCTAATTTTTGGAAATATTCTTTTTAACTAAACCATGTTTAAAAAGTTATCATTTTATTGAAGATACATGGAAATACCCAAAAGGGTGTCAACTATTTTTCGTGTGCAAAAATCTTCATTGGCTGGATCCTTATGTGGTTTCTGATTATATACTCATTCAAAGTTTCATATTTTATGCACTGAATTGTTTAAGTTTCAACCATTTTTTCTACATTCATCGAGCATTATCAAAGTAGCCCCAAATCAAAGTACTGAAGTTTGGTCACAAAACAAAAATAAATGTGTAAATGCTTTAATTTCTGTTAAACATATTACAAACGAATTAACTCTTGGATCCTCAGTACTTGTTTTAAAAATATAAAATTTGAAAAACATTCATTGCTGTAAAAAATATTTAGAATATACTTTAAAAAACTATCAATGTTACCCCGTTTTACGGTACGTTAAAAAAAATCAGTTCAGACATGAACAAGTTTTTGTAAGAAAAGCTTTTTTTCCTTAAAAGTGCTCATCTCTTGATGTATGGACGGATGATAGTGAACATAATTATCTATCTTGAGACAAAGTTTCATCCAAATCAAACATGGGCATTTTTTTAATTAATTAAAATTTAAAAATCGATTTTTTTCAGTGTATGTCTCGAAGAGATTTTTTTTTTCAAAAACTTGGACAATTTTCTAAAAGTCATCCATACAACACATTTTTGTAGGAGTTGTCATTTTTCCATAAAAAAAAATTAAAAAAAAAAAATCAGCGGAAAAGTTTGGCCCTTCTCAAATGTTAGCCTAAACAAATTTTGGAAAAAAAAACTGAGTATGCAAAAGTGCTTATTTAGTCAAAGTCTACACATCCAGAACATTTCATAGAAATCTGAGAGGGTGTTGCCAGCTTCGATTCGATTTAGCGCGAAATGCGTCAATTAGTGAATCTTCAGCTAGCGATAGGCGTTTTCCAAGGCGGATGTCAGTGACATCAAGTCCATGTCTTCTTTACCAGGCTGGAATGGATAAACTTCATCAGTCTCTTGCCGTCACTGACCGCACAATCTCATTAACAAGAACATCTAAGATGTAGATTTTTTTTATAAATCTTACAACTTGAATCAAAAACCATCGAGCGTCAGAAGTTGAAAAAACAGTCAACTTAGAGATTCATTGCACAGTTATCAGGCGATTTTCAGGGAAATTCTGAAAAGGTGCTCAAAGATGAAGTTCAATCAAACTGGTGTCTTTGGATTTTTTTTTAACTTTAACTCGCATCTTTAGAGATGTTTTTAGAGAAAAAAAAAGGTGCATCTGATGAAGGTATTGTGCACAAATTAAACTCGTTAGTACGTGACTTAAAAATCCTAACTTTCTTATCTAACGGTTAACGATATTAAAATGTTCCACATAGCTGTAGAGCTTATAATCCCATGCTGCAGGACACAAATTTGCTAACTCATCATTTCCAGTAAGATATGATGCATTTTTTAATGGAAGCCCTTGGAATACCATATTTTATAGCATGGTCTAATTTTTCAAAAATATTGGTTAATGATATAACAAATCTGAAACTCCGTTTTTTCGTGAGATTCTTGAAAAAAATTTCGTGTAAAAACAATTTTTCTATATCATCATGCTAAAGATCTGGCACAAGAACAAAATCAAAGGGTCAGGTTTTGTTTGCTGTTTTTATGATATTTTTTATTTGTTAAAATCTACTGAAAAAACTGATTTTTCTAGTTAATAAAACAGTAAAAAAAAAGGTTATCTTCTATTAAATTCCACTAAATAAATTTTAGTATCCATGACCGATAAGCATTTCGACTACATTGTGCAGTCTTCATTATTGTCACTGTTTTCTATATAATAATTTTTAAATATTAAAAAAATCACAACAATTTTCCGGTGGCGTTAAGCTTTTCGTTAATTTTTTGTATTGGTTTCGCCTTTTTGTTTGATTTATTTGTGGCATACTATGTTCAAGAAAATTTTTCTCAACTTTCTAGAAGACAGCCACATGGATTTTTTTTTTTTCACAGGTCAAATCTCAAAATATGGTGCATATTATCAGAAACTAATACCGTGATGAGATTTGGATGATCATTTTGAAGTAAAAAATGG